TACGAGACCGACCTGGCCAAGTCGGTCCCCGTTGAGATCTTGGATAATCCCTCGATCTTGGAGCCAGATCTGATGGAGATTGGCGCTCCAGAGCCCTCATGGATGGACCCGATTATGGACTTCATTAGGGGCAATTCACCACAAGACCCCAAGGAGCGCAGAAAGTTAGCGAGGAAGGCAGCTCGGTTCATAGTCCGAGGTGGAACGTTGTACCGACGCGGTTTTTCTCTACCTCTACTGAGATGCCTAACCCCTGAAGAGGGCCTATACGTCCTCAGAGAAATCCACGAGGGAGTATGCGGCAATCACTCAGGCGCCCGTTCGCTGTCGGCCAAGGTGGTCCGACAAGGATACTATTGGCCGACTCTCAGCCAGGACGCCAAGAAGTTCGTTAGAACTTGCGACAATTGCCAACGCTACGGAAACGTAATCCACCAACCTCCCGAGCTGCTCACCCCCATCTCGGCCCCGTGGCCATTCGCGCAGTGGGGGGTAGACATTATTGGTCCTTTCCCTTTGGGCAAAGGCCAGACCAAGTTCGCTGTGGTTGCTGTGGACTATTTCACAAAGTGGGTCGAGGCCGAGGCGCTCTCCCACATAACGGAATCCAGAGTCACGTCCTTCGTATGGACAAATATCATATGTCGCTTTGGTATACCGAAGGCCATTGTGCCAGACAATGGGAAGCAGTTTGACAACGCAAAGTTCAAAGATTTTTGCAGCAAGCTTGGCATAAGTCACCTTAGCTCGTCCCCTGCACATCTGCAAGTAAATGGGCAGGTGGAGGCAGTCAATAAGATCATCAAGCGAGGCATCAAACTTAGATTGGACTCAAAGAAAGGCAGGTGGGCCGAAGAGCTACCAGAGGTTCTATGGTCATACCGGACTACCCAAAGAGAGTCGACGGGTGAGACCCCGTTCTCCCTGGCCTTCGGCTCCGAAGCTGTAGTCCCAGTTGAGATCGGCATGCCATTTGACAGAGTAGAGCATTACGAGCCCACAGCAAATGGGGAAGAGTTGCTCCTCAACCTCGACTTATTGGAGGAAAGAAGAGAAATGGCCCAGCTACGCCTGGCGGAATATCAAGGCAGAATGGTCAGACATTACAACGCCCGCGTTCGACTTCGAACCTTCCAAGTCGGACATCTGGTCTTAAGGAAGGTCCAAACCCATGTGGGTACCCTTGACCCGAACTGGGAGGAGCCGTTTGAAGTTAAGAGAATAGTCCGACCTGGGACATACATATTGGCCGATCTGAAAGGAGACGTCTTCGCGCACCCATGGAACGCGGAGCACCTGAAGCGTTATTACCCTTGAAATGCCAAAATGGTTCTCAATGGACCTGTAAAAACTTTTTCAATGGGATTATGGTCGGAATAGATAAGATGATTTAATTTCATGACTCCGAGTTCGACCAGAAATTAAATGGGGGCCACGGACTCCCACACGATCAAATTCCAGCAATCGGTTAAAATTCAATCCTCCAAAACCTAAGGGTACGAGGTGCGATGCCAAAACCATTGATGAACTTAAAATTCAAACCCTCAGAGTAAAGGGGCGATGTGAAAAGTTCAGAATGTTCAAGCCTCTGAACCTAAGGGTACGAGGTGCGATGTGAAGGACAGCTACGGACTTTGAACGTTTTTAAGCTGAGGGTGCGATGTTAAAAGTCCAGAGTTGGTGCAATGCATTGAATACTAGACAGAGATTCAAATTCAAAATTTTAATGGAAGGCGCGATCTCAAAGGTAAGAGGTGCGAGGTGACGTTGGCTACAAAGTTTAAAGAAAAAGCAAAGAAAGGAGCGATGTTGCCAACACCAAAGTAAAAACGAATAAGAGCTTCTTCATTGAATGGAGAGCAGAGCCAAGGCTTATAGACCTTGCAGCTCTGCCCTAAAGCTTACAAACAAAAAGAGAAGAGAAGGACAGAGAAAGGCCTCAGCTGCTCCCGAGGTGAGGAGACTGCTCGCCTTGCGACCCCAAGAGGGTGATCTCCTAAGAGCCTGTTTGAGGAGCTCCCTCCTGAGTAGTGCCGACCTGGTCCTCTTCGAGATTGGAGTAGTCAGAGTCCAGATCTCTGACATACTTACTCACCAACGCTTGGGGGCCAGGGGTGCCGTTAGGCCCAGAAGCCCACTGCTCGGCATACCTCTTCTTCAGACCACTGAGATCGGTCTGAAGGTCAGACATGTCGGAGGTAATGCCCTTCATGAGGAACTTGAAGCCCGCGTCAGAAAAGTCTTTGGCAAATCCGTCGAAGTCAGGATGCTGCCTGAAAGACTCCTCCAACAGGGCTCCGTTGCTGAGACGTTCTTTCGCCGTCTCTAGCTCGGTAGTCGCACGCTTCAACTCCTCGTCCTTCGCTTCAAGCGCCTGAAGCATGTCGTCCTTCTCCTTGAGGAGTTGGAACTTCTTCTTCTCCAGGCCCTTGGTGATAGCATGGGCAGCTCGGAGCTGGACCTTGCGTCTGTCCTCTTCCTTCTTCAACAGCTCGGCCTTGGCCTCCACCTCGGCCTTCAGAGTGTCCACCTTAGACTGAGCCCTTAGCAGCTCATCCTTCATGGTGGAGGAAGCAGCCTCCAAGGCAGCAGAGAATTCCTCTTTCTCCCTCGCTGCCAGAACTTCCCTCCCATCCAGCTCGACCTTTACAGCTAGGACCGATTGAATGGAAGCAACAAACGCCTGAGAAAAACACCAAGAAGAAAATTAGATCGAGCTACCTATTAGGTAAATTGAGCAAAATGAAGAAACCAATCTCACCTCAGCGGCGTAGTCAATGGTCCTCTGCAGAACGAACCCCAGGTCACTTACAAATTTGGACGCTCTTCTAAGGTAGCGGTCCAAACTTGCAGCTGAGATGCGGGACACCTGGTCCCTCACCCCAGAACTTGACGGTTCAATTCTGAACCGTGCTGTCACGTCGGACGTCCCGCCCATCCTGGCTTCAGGATCGTCCACCCGGTCTGCGAAGCTCGCGGGCA